TGAGATGAAGAATGAAAATAGGATTTGGATGGGAAAGCCAGAAGGAAAGAACCACTAGTATGACCTAGACGTAAGTGGGAGGATAATATTATAATGGTTCTTCAAAAATTAGGATGGAGTGGCATGGCTAGATTAATCTGGCTCACGATAGTGACCAATGGAGGGCTCTTATGAACACGTCAATGAACCTTCGGCTTCCATAGAATTTTGAGAAATTCTTGAGTGCTTGAGTGACTGTTGGCTTCTCAAGAAGAGTTCAGTTCCATTAAATTAGTTAATTCGTCTAACTGAAATGGATATGTGGTTATTGCATCATTGTCATACTTCATTAACTTCTTCTCGTTATTAGTATATGTTTCAAGCGTACATGACCATTTCAGTTATATGTGTGATTTCATTTTTGGTTCACCCACCGTTGTATGTGAATTAATTTTTACCGCCAGTTTCTTTAATGTTATTAGGAACTTCCCTGAATAGGACAATACAGCGAAACAACTAATGGCGTAAGATATACCTGAAGATGACCACGTAATGCACAAATATATTTTGACATGAGAGCAAGTAAATGAAATATGACACTGTTGCAGTTACGATGCAGTCAATTTAAGAAAGGTGAATTACTAAGGCAAAGAATAAGTATGAAGAAAGCAGTCTTCTGGGATTTGGCACCGTGTATATGTGGTGTTAACCGACGTTTCGGAGGAACGTATCGCCTCCATCTTCAGGGTAGAAGAAAAAATATAAGAAATCTGCAAGCGAAGAGACCGTGAGAACCGGTAAGAGCCTGACGTTCCACTAAGGCCCATTGTGAGCACCATTGGCTCTCCCACCTATCGCCTGGCCAAACACTTGGCTGGCCTACTGAGGACATACACTGGCAACGGTCCACGCCACATGAGGAACTCCATGGAATTTGTCCACACATTGGACTCTCTCCATGTTGATCCCCACGACATAATGGTCAGTTTCGATGTAGTGTCACTCTTCACCAGGGTGCCTGTAAAAGATACGATGGATCTGCTAGGACGACATTTCGAAGAAAACATCTTGAGACTCTTCCGCCATGTCCTGACCACCTCATACTTCACCTTCAATGGCCAGTTCTATGAACAAACCGATGGCGTGGCGATGGGCTCGCCACTCTCTCCGGTTATCTCTAACCTCTATATGGAGGACTTCGGGGACTTGACTTGGCCCCACACAAGCCCCGCCACTGGTTTCGCTATGTGGATGACACCTTCGTCATCTGGTCACATGGTCCCGACAAGCTCCAGGACTTCCTGAACCACATAAATAGTATCAACCTGTGCATCCAGTTCACAATGGAAACTGAAACTGAAGGCCACCTCCCCTTCCTGGATATAGATATTTAGATGGTTCCCTGGGCCATAGGGTGTACAGCAAATCCACCCATACAAACCTGTACCTTAACGCTGCGTCCCACCACCACCCTTCCAACAAGCAAGCTGCACTTTCAACATTGGTGCACAGGGCTAGAGCACTGTGTGATCAAGACAGCCTACATGCGGAGTTGGTGCTCCTGAAGGATGTATTCAAGAAGAATGGATACAACACAGTCTGCTTTTACCGGTTCTCACGGTCTCTACGCTTGCAGATTTCTTATATTTTTTCTTCTACCCTGAAGATGGAGGCGATACGTTCCTCCGAAACGTCGGTTAACACCACATATACACGGTGCCAAATCCCAGAAGACTGCTTTCTTCATAGTCACCGCCATAAAAGCCTCAAATCTTACAAAGAATAAGTAGTTCACTAATGGAAAATTATACATTGGTTTGTTGTCAATTGCAAAGAAGAAAGGTGTAAGTGGGATTGCAGATTACCGTTCAACCAACTGTGCTTTTGACTGTGACGCGTCATATGCCTTGCACATATTGCTTTGAAAGAAGGGCGGTCATGAACGTCATGAAAATGGATCAGATAAATGGCCATGCGATCTCTTTGTGAATAATTAGAATTACATTGGTGTGCTTGGTTCAAGTAACTGAATATCTCGCGTTTAGATGCCGTCATATGTAATTCTTTAGTGATCTGTGCTGTCCCTAATATCCCACAAGTAACATTGTGTAGCATATAGTATATTTAATAATCCGTACCGATCCCGTACTCTCCGGCGCACACCGGTGCGACGGGTGGTGCTGCTGTCGGATGTTATTGTTACTAACGGTTACTAACGTTATGGCTGCTATGCTCTGTGTTGGTACGGTTAGTACCGGTTAGTATGGTTAGTATCGTTAGCGATGTTAGCGATCGTTAGTACCGTTAGTACAGTGCGGTATTGCCTGATGTGTGTGACGGATGTAGGTTGTAGCGTTAACTTTTACTAAGGCGAAGCTGGAAGAGTGGTGTGATATCAGTATGCGTGTGTAAGGTGCTCGGTTTTAAACGACAAACAAGTGATGGTACTCAGAACAATTAAAGCATACCATTTCACAATAGACCGTCAAATTACGAAGTTATTTATTGTTAGATCTGAGAAAATACTGATTTTGTGAAGTATATGAGGGGAAACCCTGATGGCTTATTCCCAAATTTTGATCCGTGCATTCGGTTGGAATGAGCAAGGAAGGTCACGAAATTATTTAGTGTTGGTAAGAACGTGAAGGTGAGGACGGCAGCTCTGTCCCAGTTTGTGTGTTTGAGGAATTTGTGTTGGTGTGTAGTAGTGTGCCATGTTAGGTGGGTCCCTTATCACATTGCATGGCGCGTCCTCAGACTGAGATTGGAGGAGACGGCCTCCACGAAGGGAGGATAGCAGAAAATATCATGAATACATATACAAAATTACATGAGTCACATAATCAGAATCACTTGCATTAATCGATTAACATAAATAGTAATATAAAGTAAAAAATTTTAAGTAATAAACATAATTTAAAAACAACTTACTATAAAACTTGAATTAATACAGTTTTATTTAAATCACCCATATTAACTGAATTAAATACATTACAAATTTACACACTTATGACCAGTTATGTTGATAATATTCATTCATGGAATAAAAAAGAATGATACAAAAACTTCTTCAATGCAGATTTAAAACTTCTCTCATCAGTCATCATCATCATCATCACTGGCACGACAACCCTTTGTGAGCCCTGGCCCTCCTCAGGATTGCTCGCCATTCTTCTCTATTGGATGCTACATTCCTCCAGTTCCTTAGACCCAAAATTCTTATGTCCTGCCACACATTCTTCCCATCTTAACCTTGGTCTTCCTTCTCTCCTATTTCCTTCTGTCTCGTCAGTAGCAAACATTTTCATTGTTTGAGGAAGATGATTAAAAACTTTAATACCTGATATGTATGCACATTTATTGTATTTTGTTAGGTTAACTGCAGGTAAATATAAATTATTGAGGGCTCTGGTTTTATATTTGTGAATCTCATTTTTAAAATTAAATAAATATTTGTTATTACTTTTGTATAAAAATAATGAATATATGTACAGAGAGTAGAATGTCATTATTTCCAAATTCTTAAAAATGTTCCTACAACTCTCTCTTGGTCTAGGATTCGTTATAATACTAATAACTTTCTTTTGCAATATAAAAACTTTGTTATCACAAGAAGAGTCAACCCCATAAATTATACCACAACTTATGATAGAATGTATATGAGCAAAATAAATTAGCTTTAACATATCTAAAGGGACAATATATTTTATATTTCTCAGTGCATAACATGCAATGGAAATTTTATTAATAACATAATGAATATGCTGTTTCCATGAAAGAGTATCATCAATAATTAATCCCAGAAATTTTGTCTCAGTCACATTTGTTAAATTTATCTGATCATGGTTAATTTGAGTAGTGATATTATAATAATTCTTAGGTCGAAACTCGACATATTGAGTCTTATTACAATTCAAGGTAAGCAAATTAGCATTAAACCATGTATTTATATCTTTGAAAGTTTGATTAAGATTTATTTCAGAGTTCAACTTATTAGTGTCAGTTACTATAATACTGGTGTCATCTGCAAATAATACCATATTATTATTTTTATTTATTATTTTAGGTAAATCATTAATATAAAGCAGAAAAAACAAGGGATCAAGAATTGAGCCCTGTGGAACACCGCATTCAATTGTTTCCCATTTGGATGAGTTGTTACTGCCAATTCTATTACCCAGTACAACTCTTTGATATCTACCTGTCAGATAAGATCCTATAAGTGTTTTGAATTTTCCTTCAGTTCCATAGAATTCCAATTTATCCAATAATATTTTATGGTTAACGCAATAAAACACCTTTTGTAAATCACAAAAAATTCCTCCCACCATTAACTGTCCAGTTAACAAACTGAAATAGTATTTTGTTGGTAACATGGTTTTTAGCCGGAAGGAGCGACTGCAGCGTGGGGGGACCATATAACAGTATCTTCTCAATAGGATGGGTCATGTAGCCATGACCTTGGTAAAGTTTTTGAGAGATTAAGGTCTTATATAGTTATACAGGATGTGTCATTATTGCATACCATATTCTACAAGATACTGTGGGTTTATATGAATATGTACCCTGAGGGCCTTGCCTAACCCTTTGGCATGGTTTCCTGTATGACACATGATTGGTATCTGCATGCCCTATTTATGGTTTCATGTCACCATACATTATATTGCAGGCTTAGCTTCTCTACCCTCTAGCTGAGGGATGAAGTACTTTGTGGAGAAGGGTTTGTATAAAGCTATGAAGAAATAAACTAACTCTTTCAATTATATATCAGTGACCCTGCTTACTGACCAGCAGATGACTGAGACTAACCTAAATGTCTTAACACCGCAGTCATCATGGATGTGCCTTCAACCAGCCATGTGCTTATGGAGTCAGAAATTTATGAATTTTGGGACAGTGATGTTATCGCTTGCGGACAATTTCTTCTGGCTCCATTATTCCAACCTTACAGCAATATAATTATATATTGCCACAAAATATGATGTGTTTAAATGCCATTTTTAATCGGTGTTTCCTTTCAGGATGTGGGCAGATATTCCAAATTACATACGCTTACATGACTGAGAAGCTGTAGCACAAGAATTGTTGTAAGCCATTTTGTTACACAGCGTACACATGATCATGTGTGATGATCAAAGGGCCGTGAAGTCTCTGGCAACAAGACTACTGGAAGATACAGTGCACAGAGCTGAGGAACTATTTCCTGCTCTGGGTGGAAGCTTGGTGAGCATTTTGTGCTTGTGAGCACATAAAATAAATTTATCATTTGTTTACAGGAGTTACATGGCAAAATATACAATTTTTGTGATAAGCATGTGTTGATTTTCAGTGTCCATTCTGTGAGTACTGTAGCGGTCATTGGACACATGAGAATGGTATAGTCTGTTCATATTTTGGCTTTAATTGAATGTGATTATGTGTAACACATTGAGATTGGAAAATTTTGCCTTTCATTCTAATAATTGCTGAATTTATTGAGCATTGTTACAAAATTTGATTCTTGAAGTGTCGGAGGTCTGAGTGGGTTAGATTCAATGAAAACAGTAGCTCAATTTTATGAAAGTATAAGTTGGGTTTTGTGGTAGTACAGGCTGTAGGATGGAGGAAATTGTGACTGAACCAGCAGATCACAAGAAATGCAAATGGGAATGCTAATCACCACTTGGAGACAATCATATCAGCATTTATGATGGTGACATTTGTTGATATGTAGAATGTTACATAATATTCATGGCTAGAAGAAAAGAATAATTATCTGTAACTTTGTGCCATTGAAAGGAATTACTGTCGTATATAAAATGATTTGCTACTGAACTTATATAAAATGTATGAGCCTTTAAGAATCATTGAGTGTGAGAAACTTGCATTATCGGACGTGTACCCTCACATTGCTGGAAGAAGGTGCTTAAAAATCTCCTGGTGTTGCACATAATGTCTTCTGAACTACATAGGGAGTATGTAACAGGGCCATTTTCAATTTATAATTTCACAGCATAACATCGATGTAATCAAAGTGGAAACAAATGTGGATATTCAAAGTGATGAAGAAGATCCTGTTGGCATGGAAATTGAAGAGGTTCACATACCATCAGCATTTTCAGTGAAAGAGGATGAACCCAAGGTGAGTCATAATACCAGAGGCTTTCTGTGATGGCGTTTTGTGTGTATGTGTTGACAAGGCAGGACAATACTGAAATTTGTAATTTTTTTTTGTCTGGAAAACCATTTGTGACCTAGTGAATTTAAAAGTGATCATAATCATTGGAAAACTTTTGTGAGGATTTCTTGTGAGTACAGTTTTGGGCCAAACTGATCTCAGAATGCAGTATGTCAGATGCTGGGTTGTAATATGGGTCATTTTAGTCATGTATCCCCCCCCCCCCAGTGTTCCTAGCAGCCAAGCTTCATACATGAGAAGGAATTGTTTTTATTTGACTTTCCTGGTGAACAAAGTAGCTTCATTTTTTTTGTTGTGGATTATACACTATATTTCAGTTTGCTTTTGGAGAATCTGTGTTAGAGACAGAATGTTCTGTGAGCCTGTAATGCAGAGTGGTTATGTTGACCAAGAGTAATGCTGATATTAGTTAATGTTCACATGTGTGGAAGAACACAGCATCAGCAATAGTCAGCCAAATCTGTAAGTGAAAGGTTTTAATTTCCTCTTATTAGTGATCATCAGAAGGTAATCAGGTTATAGATGTTAATTTCTTTCATACAATATATATTTACATCACTACTGCAACAGAATGTTACGCTCACTTTTAATTCTTTATTCACGACATGTTTCAGCCATACATGGCCATCATCGGGTGTCTGTCGCTATGCCGAACCGTTGTACTCTACTGCTTGTCACAATTGCAGGTTGCTAGTTATCGGTACTCCTTAATTAAAATTGAAGTTACAAATTAAATTAAAATTAAAAATTTATTTTGCAGTAAGTCAACCTTATTAAATTTAATAAAACCAGTTAATTCCAGTCTTCTTATGGGACCCATTAGTGCAATCTTATGCGGCATTGGTGTTGGTGTGAACGTTGATACTTCATACACATGTCCCTTTGGCTGTCGTCCCATCACCCAGCTTGTGTAGTTGTACATAGTGGGAAACTGATACTGTTGCCTATATAAATAGATTCTTTATCCAGATGATCTCAAGGCACACATTTCTACCACTTGGAGAGTAAAATGTCTGTGTAACATACTTTGAAAATTTTTGTTGACGGAATGCACATGGGTCACATGAGTGGAAACAGATTTAACGCCATCTTAACCTTCCAGACATGCTGGTCATTATGTTTATTTGCAGTCCCTTTAACCCGTTGCCGTGGTTCGTCGTGTATGTTTCGTCAGGGATTTAAATCGTCTGGGGGGGTTCGACGTGTATGTTTCGTCCAGCTGCACACGTATGTTATAACGCCCATAATAATTGATGGTTTTGCTGTAGATTGTTAGATTTTTCACTGGCCTGTTGTCAGGAGGACTGTATTTAATGACACACGCGTTTAAGAGCGCTAAGTCGTCGTTACATATGCCTGTCTTGCAGCAACGTTCCTGTGGCTATTGCGAGCTGTTTCTGTTATGAATGATGTGTTTTGTTTGCTCTGAAGCTATAAACACCAGAGACTGATATGTGCTGGTGTTTATAATATCATATTGCCCTGAGCTGGCTATTCAATTGGAATTCTTAGAAGAGGGATGTACAAAAGTTTATGCCTGCAAAATCGATTGCTTTCGCACAGTACATAGCACCCATTTCTTAGAAAAACGCCACAATTTAAGGCAGAACACTGTGGTCACCCCCTGAGACGATACGGATGTGTGTGGGGGAGGGAAAAGAACTCATTCCTTCGCTCATTATCGCTCCAGTTGACTCCATTTTATCGTACTGACCTTGGTGGTCGTTTCGAGGGATGACCATAAATATTTTTTTGAGCCAGCTAAGCTCTACTTTCGTTCACTACATACCAGACAGTTCTTAGAATAACTTCATGAATTCTGTGGTCACCCCTACGACATCTCCTGCCGCCAAAATGGATGGAATATCAAAGGCATAGCAACAACCCCTTGTTATGATAACTCGTAACGTTGAATTTACTACAGCTGACCTGGCAACTAAACGGGTCACGGAAAGACATTTCCTTGAAGTATACCCCTCACGGGTAAGAAGGCAAGGCCGCACATATGTGTGGTTAAAAAAAAGGGCCAAAAAAAATACACAATATTGGAGCGGAGAATGGTGAACGTGGGGCACCGTTGGGTTATACGAATGCTTCAAGGCCTTCCTTCTACTAAACCAACTGCCTCCATTACCGAGATACAGGGCGCTCATATTATAAGGTAAGGTTATAAAACCACCATTTAAGATCATTTTAGTGAAAGTTTCATCCTTCAAGGCGTACCATTCACTGCTGAAATACTAAACAACCTGCTTCCATGGCCGAGATACAGGGCGCCCATATTATAAGGTAAGGTTATAAAACCACCATTTAAGATCATTTTAGTGAAAGTTTCATCCTTCAAGGCGTACCATTCACTGCTGAAATACTAAACAACCTGCTTCCATGGCCGAGATACAGGGCGCCCATATTATAAGGTAAGGTTATAAAACCACCATTTAAGATCATTTTAGTGAAAGTTTCATGTTCCTATCTCATAGAATTTAAGAACAATGATGAATAAATAATTTTCGAGCAAAATTTAAATGGCCGGCTGAATATATTACCGCAGGAGCCGCGGCCGCGGAATTTAAATGACCACGTCAAAGGGTTAACACTGCCTTTAGTACTTCATGTTGTGTAGTGTCAAATAATTGGATGAATGGTGAATAATGAATTTGATTGGAAATGGTGATTATGTAAAGAAATTCAAGAAAATCTTGAGGCAGTGTGGCAAGTCTCAGAGTAGAGATTTAAATCTATTACTTCTGTATTAACATTTTGCGGACCAGCAACTTAAATATTTAAATCACCCTGGGGACCGGCATCTTTAAACCTACTACCCTAACTTGTGCACTGTTCACTTTAAAAATTAATATAAAATCTCATAATTAATTTTATGAACTAAATTTTTGGAGAACACTTACCAATGCTCCTAGAAGTGCTTGAGAGTCTGATATTCCTGGAAACATTCCTCTTTGTGAAGTGGCATTACACAGAACTTGCAAATGTAGGCAGTCATGCTCCTTTTTCTGTGAACTGTGCAAACACGACATTGCCTAGAAGGATGCTTCCCCTTGGAATGTTCACTCTTCACAATTTTCACGAGGGTATATTTGCGCATATCACCCGAGAGTCGCCCAGGGGTTGTCCACGAGGCCTGAGAGGGGTGGGAGTTGATGCTCCCGGTCCCACTAAGTCTTTGTCAGACTCTCGTTCTGCCACCACCATCTGGTCTGTAGCCCAGGCATTTGCCACATTCATCAGAAATGCTTTGTATTTCAATTTTGAATTGGGGTTTAGATTTTTGTAAACCAAAAATGAATTGAAAATGGCACAATTTATAAGTCACAAGGCAACTTTCTTTGTCCACTTTATTGTTTATCTAGGAAGAGAATAATAGGCCAAGTATTGATCGGCTCTATCAACTCCCTTCATGAACATATTATACTCAGAAATACAAATAGGCTTCTTTACTTGTCCATGTCTCCTTTGAACATGAACCATGCTCGAATTGTGAATTGTGGAAATCATATGCACAACACGAGTATCTCTATCTCCAAAAACCAGTTCTGCTACTTCAGACACTTGCGTTCAGTCCGATGGAATTTGTTTCACCCCTGGATTTCCAGTAAACTGTCCCAAAATAGGCGTTTTGTCTACTTTTCCCCATGTGGCTGTACCCGCAATTTTACTACCTGCACTTCTACATGCACTTTCGTCAGAGTTACATTCACTTTTATTGTCTGTGGGTACACTTGTTTGTTGACCCCTGTCACTGCCACTGTCTCAGTTTCACTACACCTCTCACAAGGCACGTCAAATAGCTCATCGGAGAACGAGTAAGATATTTCTTTTTCTCTGAGATATCGCTTCGTCTTCAACCGCTTCTTTCCTTGATTCATATTGCACTAACATCCTGCCTGGTACATAACAGCTTGAAGGGTCAAAGATTATTTTCCTTTGGATGGGGAACAAAGACAGAGAGGTCAGGTTACTACCTACTAGGCAAAAATTCCAGAGTAATATTACGCAGTACTCATTCATTTGGGTGGTGCCAGAGAGATGTATAGTGTGTTGCAGCTTGTTGTGTTCTAAAAGCCAGTTAACAGGCGAACGGTCTATCATGTTTAAAAGCGAAAAACCATTTAAAGGGTTAAGGGGGCACTATGCTACAAGCTCGATGGACACAGGTTTCATTCCTGAAGAGGTCATTAGTCTTTCCAGTTGACCTAATTAATCCTTGCAGCCGCACTATGGCCCTGGGGTCGACTCAGCCTCCAACAGTAATGAGTACGAGGAAACTTTCCAGGGGTAAAGGGCAGCTGGTGCATAAGGCTGACCTCACCTCAGTCTGTGAGTAGATTGTCTAGAAAATGTGGGAGCCTCAATGTCTCACACCCCTATGGATCTCCAGGTCCTCTTACAGGGATAGCTTTACCTTTTATTTCGTTACTAAGAAGCAGGAGATCTAAGTGATGCATACGAGGGGGTGCCCAAAAGAAACCGAACTTATTTTTTTTAAACTTATTTATTCAAATTTTAAGCACAAACCTTCAATCCCCTTCAAAGTACTCTCCATTTACACTAATACACTTGTCTAGTCTTTTATTCCATTTTTCAAAACATTGTCTAAATTCATCTTTTGAGATGCTTGACAGCGTCTCTGTCGTTTTTTCCTTTCATGTCTCTTTTCATTCGAGGAAACAAAAAAAAGTCACACGGGGCAAGGTCGGGTGAGTATGGAGGGTGAGGAACAGGGGTCATACCATTTTTGGTCAAGAATTGTCGTACAGACAGGGCTGTGTGAGCAGGGGCATTGTCATGATGGAAAAACCAGTCACCCGACTGCCACAAATCTGGCCGCTGAGCTCCAAGTCACTCCCGACAGCTCCACAATTTCTTCAATGGTACGTCATCGATCTTCCTTGATGATTTCACGAATTTTTCCAACATTTTCATGTGTTCGGGCCATGGAAGGATGACCAGAACGAGGTTTGTCATCAATTGACATTTCACCATTTTTGAAATGGGAAAACCACTCAAACACTTGAGTTTTCCCCATAGCATCGTCCTTGTACGCCGTCTTTAACATTTCAAGAGTTTCTGTTCCACTTTTCCCGAGCAAAAAGCAGAATTTCACTGCTGCACACTGTTCACGAAAATCAGCCATTGCAAAAACGACGATCAAACAAAACAGTTGTCACTATAAACTCTGCCAAAACTAGTTCTTACCTTCTGAAGCAACAGTAGTTGGCTTATCGACTCAGGAATGTTAGCTCTATGCGCTCATAGCGGCAAAACGCGGTACTACAAAAGTTCTGCCCACAAAAAAATTAGTTCGGTTTCTTTTGGGTACCCCATCGTATGTGGGGTTCAGTATGGAAATGCATGCTGTAAGATGCCCTCCATAGGAATGGTGTATGTGGCACCCTCACAAGCAGATTTGATTGGCTTACTTGTGTGTGGTCAAACACTATAAACAGAGTTTTATTTCTGTGAAAGTGAAGGTGATAACATACAAATGCAGCATGGCATGGTTATGTAAGGAGACAGGTTCTGACAGAGGACCCAGCTTGTGAAAGGTGCCCACAGGAAGATGAATCAGCCACACACATCTTATGTGATTGTGAGGCTGTAGCTTACCTAAGATATCACCACCTGGGTCAGTTCTTCATTGAACCAAGTGACTTTATGATGCCCCCATAAATAAAGTCCTACATTTCATACAAAGTGTAGGTTTAATAAAGGGTTAATCCAAAAGAGAAGCACAATAGATCATTAAAGGTTGCACTGGGAGGGCCAATTTTATGGCTCACCCTTCATACTCATACTCATATGTAAGGAGGTGCAGAGGTCAGCATCATACATTCTAGGCTTATATTCATGCTCATCAGGTTTGTACGGTAGAGAGACTGATATTTACCCAGCAATCACAGTGATATGAAATTGTATGTTTTTATACCAGAGGCAGGCATTGGCCTAGTGTTCAAAAGGTCCTGGGTTTGAACCCAACTGTCACCATTGATATGAAAAAACATTAAAGGTGTGAGAATGTGGTTAGTTGAAGGTAGGAATAGAGCAGTAGTGTAGTTGGTTGAGGCACTATGCCGCAAGCCGGAAGGTCACAGGATTGAATCCCAATGAGGTGGATCTTTTCAATTTATCTAATCCTTCCAGCCACACTATGGCCCTGGGATCAACTCATCCTCTAACAGAAATGAGTACCAGGAATATTCTTGGGGGTAAAGGATAGCTGGCATGTAAGGCCGACAACCTTACTGCCATCTATGAACTGATTGTCTAGAAAATGTAGGAACCTCGACATCTCAACCCTATGGGCCTCCACGGCCTGTTACAGGGACACCTTTACTTTACGTTACAGGAATAGAGTAGACTTCCAAGACATTTTGTTCTGTTCATTTAGCGCTACATGAGGCAGAAGTACACTACTTGTTAGTGCTGGAGACAGGTTCATTTCCATCAGTCATAGACTACAAATGCTTAGAGTGAATTGGTAGTGACAGTGAAAGGGAAGGTCATTTGCAGTCACACTAGAGAAATATGTGTATGTATATCTACTTAAGAAGACAAAAGAAACTCTAAAAGCAAGATTGCTTGAACAGCATTTTTGAAGCTAAGGGAGTTTCTTGGTTAAATAGGGACAGTAGATGTAGAAGGAAAACATACACAGTACCTGATAAGGAATGAGTGATGGCAAATCTTAAAAAGTTACATTTGATGGCTTTGGATAAGTATTACAACCGCTCTTCGGCTGTCACTTCTTGCAACCGTTGGGCGCCACTTCTTGTGACCGTTGCCTATCTATCTTTATGTTTATTTATTTGCCCGGTTCGGTAGGACACTGACTCATTTATTTGCCCGCTTCGGTAGAACACTTTTGACTCTTCTCAGGGTTGTGTCACAGTAATAACTGGAGCAACGAGGAGACTACACATTTAAAGCTAGTCCACTGATACAAATCAAAGACACTATTTTGTGCTTAATCACAAATTGTTTATTTCAGAAGCAAACACTATATCCTTATTGGCAAGTACGGAGTAATGTGCCCTTTTATTATTATCAAAGATTAATCGAACCAGATGAAGACTGTTAAATTTAGATTTACTTGGAGAGCGCAGCCCGATGGCGTCTGCCTCTGGTGAATTGAAAATGCCAAGTCCTTCTGTCCACTCTATTCTGCGGGAGCGTCACTTCATCACTGTATAGGATTTGAACCGACGGCCTTTCTCCCAGACAAGAATAGTTTCCTAATGGCTGATTTTAACTGCCAATTCATCATACCATCAGTACTAGACAGTCACATTACTAACTTTTAGAATAAATAGATCCAAAGATATTGAACCCGGAACCCTACATGTGAAAGCGGTTATTTCTTAGTTTAGGGTCTAATTACACCCTTTCGAAGACACTTTTATAACAGCTACCCTATTAGCAAAACAACATTTACATCTTAGGAAAACAACAGACATGCCCTTTCATAATTGCCTCGACCCTTTAGCGGTCACCCAAGCTGCAGGTAACAAAACAATGTAGTTGTTCCTGTCTAAATGCGAAAAGCAAGTCATAACTTCTTAATGGATGGGTCTCCCTAATAAATCAGTCACTCTATTGAAATGGCTGAAGAGGAACATAGCGTCCATTAAAGAGTATTAAAAGGTTTGGACTGTTACAGTATTTAATAACAAGAATAATAAATGGGTTCCACATTTCAGGAAGTGAGCATCTCATTTGTGAGCTGTAACATAAGGAAATAACTGTTAAAGCAGGGAGGTGGGTTGTATGGAGAATCGTTAATAGTTTAATCTTAAAAAAGAGGAAAGGTAAACCTATCCTTGTAATAGGCTGTGGAGGCCCATAGGCTTGTGAGATGTCAGGGCTCCCACATTTTCTAGACAGTCTGTCCACAGATGGCAGTGAGGTTGTCAGCCCTACGCGCCGGCTGTCCTTTACCCCCAGGAAGATTTCTGGTACTCATTTCTGTTAGAGGTTTTGTCAACCCCAGGGCCATAGTGCAGCTTGAAGGGTTACCTGGAAGAAAATGTAGACACTAGAAATAATGTTACTGAAACACCAGATGTACATATGTGAGAAAGGAATATTGTGCAATACTGAAGAGAGAAGTTTCAAGTAATTTACATGAAATCTGTGTTCATGTTCTGCCCACTAAATTAAGTGCATGTTTGAGCAAATGAGAATCTATTCATGTTCGGAGATGAATGTGTAGTTATTGTGAACATGAACATTTAATTAGTTAATGTGTTACTGGGATGTCAGACCTTACAGTGTGGAACCAGCTGTTGCCTTCCTGTACTGCATGGGTGTTGGAACCATAGGAAATGCATTACATAACAGCTGTTTTCAACTTGTAACTTACAGCAGAGCATTGATATGATCAAATTAGAAACTGATGTGGATATTCAAAGTGAAGAAGATCCTACTGACATGCTCACTGAAGAGGTTCACATACCATCACCATTTTCTGTCAAAGCTGAAGAACTGAAGGTGAGCCATGTTTTCTGTCATTGTCATGAAGGTGAGGGAGAGGGAGAGAATGTGTGTGCATATGCATGCGTGTGTATGTGCATATGTGCAATTTTGCAAGGGACGATGCAAGAATTGAAAAAGCTAATATTTTTTGATGTTATATTTTAGTGTCCTTTATGTGTGTGTGTGCTGTCTTCGTTTTGAATCAAAACGAAGACAGCACACACACACACATACCC